AGTTGAACAGAGTGGTGATGTCTGGTGTCATTTTGGGATGACACGTCTCAGGTCGAGACACATTTAGGATGAGACCCTCCTCGGATGAGCGTTACGAAATAAATTTTTCTTTCGAAAATTGAAATTAATGGTATAAAATGATGTTATAGTTCAAGTTGAACAGAGTGGTGATGTCTGGTGTCATCTCGGGATGACACGTCTCCGGACGAGACACATTTAGGATGAGACCCTCCTCGGATGAGCGTTACGAAATAAATTTTTCTTTCGAAAATTGAAATTAATGGTATAAAATGATGTTATAGTTCAAGTTGAACAGAGTGGTGATGTCTGGTGTCATCTCGGGATGACACGTCTCCGGACGAGACACATTTAGGATGAGACCCTCCTCGGATGAGCGTTACGAAATAAATTTTTCTTTCGAAAATTGAAATTAATGGTATAAAATGATGTTATAGTTCAAGTTGAACAGAGTGGTGATGTCTGGTGTCATCTCGGGATGACACGTCTCCGGACGAGACACATTTAGGATGAGACCCTCCTCGGATGAGCGTTACGAAATAAATTTTTCTTTCGAAAATTGAAATTAATGGTATAAAATGATGTTATAGTTCAAGTTGAACAGAGTGGTGATGTCTGGTGTCATCTCGGGATGACACGTCTCCGGACGAGACACATTTAGGATGAGACCCTCCTCCGATGAGCGTTACGAAATAAATTTTTCTTTCGAAAATTGAAATTAATGGTATAAAATGATGTTATAGTTCAAGTTGAACAGAGTGGTGATGTCTGGTGTCATCTCGGGATGACACATCTCCGGACGAGACACATTTAGGATGAGACCCTCCTCGGATGAGCGTTACGAAATAAATTTTTCTTTCGAAAATTGAAATTAATGGTATAAAATGATGTTATAGTTCAAGTTGAACAGAGTGGTGATGTCTGGTGTCATCTCAGGATGACACGTCTCCGGACGAGACACATTTAGGATGAGACACTCCTGGGATGAGCGTTACGAAATAAATTTTTCTTTCGAAAATTGAAATTAATGGTATAAAATGATGTTATAGTTCAAGTTGAACAGAGTGGTGATGTCTGGTGTCATCTCGGGATGACACGTCTCCGGACGAGACACATTTAGGACGAGACCCTCCTCGGATGAGCGTTACGAAATAAATTTTTCTTTCGAAAATTGAAATTAATGGTATAAAATGATGTTATAGTTCAAGTTGAACAGAGTGGTGATGTCTGGTGTCATCTCGGGATGACACGTCTCCGGACAAGACACATTTAGGATGAGACCCTCCTCGGATGAGCGTTACGAAATAAATTTTTCTTTCGAAAATTGAAATTAATGGTATAAAATGATGTTATAGTTCAAGTTGAACAGAGTGGTGATGTCTGGTGTCATCTCTGGATGACACGTCTCCGGACGAGACACATTTAGAATGAGACCCTCCTCGGATGAGCGTTACGAAATAAATTTTTCTTTCGAAAATTGAAATTAATGATATAAAATGATGTTATAGTTCAAGTTGAACAGAGTGGTGATGTCTGGTGTCATCTCGGGATGACACGTCTCCGGACGAGACACATTTAGGATGAGACCCTCCTCGGCTGAGCGTTACGAAATAAATTTTTCTTTCGAAAATTGAAATTAATGGTATAAAATGATGTTATAGTTCAAGTTGAACAGAGTGGTGATGTCTGGTGTCATCTCGGGATGACACGTCTCCGGACGAGACACATTTAGGATGAGACCCTCCTCGGATGAGCGTTACGAAATAAATTTTTCTTTCGAAAATTGAAATTAATGGTATAAAATGATGTTATAGTTCAAGTTGAACAGAGTGGTGATGTCTGGTGTCATCTCGGGATGACACGTCTCCGGACGAGACACATTTAGGATGAGACCCTCCTCGGATGAGCGTTACGAAATAAATTTTTCTTTCGAAAATTGAAATTAATGGTATAAAATGATGTTATAGTTCAAGTTGAACAGAGTGGTGATGTCTGGTGTCATCTCTGGATGACACGTCTCCGGACGAGACACATTTAGAATGAGACCCTCCTCGGATGAGCGTTACGAAATAAATTTTTCTTTCGAAAATTGAAATTAATGATATAAAATGATGTTATAGTTCAAGTTGAACAGAGTGGTGATGTCTGGTGTCATCTCGGGATGACACGTCTCCGGACGAGACACATTTAGGATGAGACCCTCCTCGGCTGAGCGTTACGAAATAAATTTTTCTTTCGAAAATTGAAATTAATGGTATAAAATGATGTTATAGTTCAAGTTGAACAGAGTGGTGATGTCTGGTGTCATCTCGGGATGACACGTCTCCGGACGAGACACATTTAGGATGAGACCCTCCTCGGATGAGCGTTACGAAATAAATTTTTCTTTCGAAAATTGAAATTAATGGTATAAAATGATGTTATAGTTCAAGTTGAACAGAGTGGTGATGTCTGGTGTCATCTCGGGATGACACGTCTCCGGACGAGACACATTTAGGATGAGACCCTCCTCGGATGAGCGTTACGAAATAAATTTTTATTTCGAAAATTGAAATTAATGGTATAAAATGATGTTATAGTTCAAGTTGAACAGAGTGGTGATGTCTGGTGTCATCTCGGGATGACACGTCTCCGGACGAGACACATTTAGGATGAGACCCTCCTCGGATGAGCGTTTCGAAATAAATTTTTCTTTCGAAAATTGAAATTAATGGTATAAAATGATGTTATAGTTCAAGTTGAACAGAGTGGTGATGTCGGGTGTCATCTCGGGATGACACGTCTCCGGACGAGACACATTTAGGATGAAACCCTCCTCGGATGAGCGTTACGAAATAAATTTTTTCTTTCGAAAATTGAAATTAATGGTATAAAATGATGTTATAGTTCAAGTTGAACAGAGTGGTGATGTCTGGTGTCATCTCGGGATGACACATCTCCGGACGAGACACATTTAGGATGAGACCCTCCTCGGATGAGCGTTACGAAATAAATTTTTCTTTCGAAAATTGAAATTTATGGTATAAAATGATGTTATAGTTCAAGTTGAACAGAGTGGTGATGTCTGGTGTCATCTCGGGATGACACGTCTCCGGACGAGACACATTTAGGATGAGACCCTCATAGGATGAGCGTTACGAAATGAATTTTTCTTTCGAAAATTGAAATTAATGGTATAAAATGATGTTATAGTTCAAGTTGAACAGAGTGGTGATGTCTGGTGTCATCTCGGGATGACACGTCTCCGGACGAGACACATTTAGGATGAGACCCTCCTCGGATGAGCGTTACGAAATAAATTTTTCTTTCGAAAATTTTTAGCGCTCGCTTACGCTCGCGTTTCAAACATCCATCAACGGGGGGGGGGGGGGGGGGGGGGGTAGGTACGAAAATTTTCGAACGGAATGCGTGACATATACGTAATTCGCGTGAAAAGTCCGAACGAAATGCGTACATTTTTTTCCGGCGTTCGTATTTTTGCTGTGCAGACGATCTTTTTTAGAAATTTTTCTACAGAAATATTTTTGCTTGACAATTACCAGGTAAAATGCGTATTTGCGTGACATTTTCTGTCACGCAAAAATAACTGGCGTGACTTCAAATTCTTCAGCAAATGCGTGACAAATACGCAAATTGCGGGACAGTTGACAGGCCTGCTATCGGGGCCACAGTATATAGTTAAGGGGTCTTCTTATTGAAAGCAGACTAAAAATGCGCTCTCCAAATTAATACTCAAATATCGTATATCCCGACATATTGGAGTGAATAAACTCAGCAAGGAACTTTATACAAAGGATTTACTTTATCCCGTTCCCGGACTATGGTCCTGTGAACATCTCAATCTTTTGCCTGTGTGATTACAACATTACATGGGAGAATTTTTTACTGATCTTACACTTCAGATACCTACTTCAATAGATTCCTTGGTAATTTAGCATTCTTTTCGTGTAGTTGAATCCACAATTGTCTGGGTTTATCGGCAGAACGAAGACATTTTCGTTTTTGATCGCAATATTTGCGTGTAACATTTAACTTATTTCAACCGTCAAATTCCTCCATATTGGTACTTCCGGGCTACATCCGGGACAGCCAAACGGGGGATTCCCCTTTTAAATCCAACCGCCATTTTGAAAAGTGATGGAATCTCTCTCGATGAAAAAGAGAAAATGTTCCCGTTCTGCCGATATACCCAGACAATCGGCGGTTCCAATATATTAGAAGTTACATCTTGAGTTCTATAATGCATTGAGGTAGGTATCTTAAGTGTAAGGGGCGTAGATAATTCTCCCAAGTTGTAATCGTGCAGGCAAATGAATGCGATCAGTGCAGGACTATAGTCCGGGAACGGGATAAGATTTACTTACCTTTAACGCAAGGATTGTATGAAGAACAAAACGCTAAAACAGGTTACGACAACAGTTTATATCACGTTTTGACATTTTAATTGTATTATCGGCGACTGCGGTCGATAGACCCCATATACTAACTCTAAAAACGTTGCTATTTGACTACGTTAAAAAGACAACGTTTCGTGCAGTGTAAAATTCGTTTCATACAGTGTAACGTTCAGTAATCATATTTAGTGAAATAACCGGGTAGCACGATGTCTGATTTTAAAGTCTTTATGTCCAACAAGGAAGTTGTGAAACGTATTCAAACCATTGGTAGTCATTACAGGAAGCACGTTCCGAGTAAACTAAAGAAAGCAACCGGATCTAAATCTAAATTAGCAACGCTGGACTCTCTCAATGAACATTGCAGCTCAGATACATACTGTGTGTTCAGAACGAATCAAGATGGGTTGTTAAACTGGATAATAACATTACACCTATATTATGAAGACTATAACAACAAACAAATGGAAATCTGTGAGGATCTCAAGAAGATCAGTGTAGAAGCATCAGAGTATAAAGTAACAGTTTTCTTAACAACTGGAACCATTCAAATACAAGGAAATAACATCACTGAATTCAAATCCCAGGTGTTTCCAATCTTGAAAAGCACTACTTATCAGATCAAGCAATCAAACACAGAAAAAAGGACAATACTCAAGATCAGTCAAATACACAGATAAAGAGCATAACATCTACAACCGATATTAACGATCATGAGATAAAAAACACAGAAAATGATACCATAAACAATGATTATCACGACAACGAGGTCACAAATGTAAAACTAAGATGTACTCAACCAGACCATGAAAATGCACAGGACGAGAACGAGATAGAGGATTTGGAAGATAACAACGTTCACGAAAATAACATCATGAACCACAATAATCACGATAACGAAAATCCAGCCGTAAATAACGAGACTCTAACTGTAAATAACGAGACTCCAACTGTAAATAACGAGACTCCAACTGTAAAAAATAACGAGACTCCAATTGTAAATAACGAGACTCTCAACTGTAAAAAATAAGGATGGCGACAAAAAAACAAAAGTAACTTCAACAGATAACGTGTCTGAAACCGAATCCAATAATAAAAAGAGTTGTGAGACCAGCATCCTTCAGCAAGAACTGTGAAAAATAACTAGAAAGATGGAAAAATTAGAAAATACAGTTTGCGATCTAATAGACAAAGTGAGTGTGAACAACGTATCACAGAAAGAAACGCGATGCTCAGGAGAAGAATCGACTTGCGAACATGATACAGAATTACGCAGAGTTAGAAAGATAAGAAAAGAACAAGCTGATTTTGTTACAGACCAAGCCAGAAAAATTAAGGCGTATCAAAGTGAAATTGATCACCAACAAACAATTATAAGTTCAAAAAACAGGGAAATCGAAGAACTAAATGAAAAGATTCAATCAAAGATGCAAGTAATATCCAAACAAGATGATGAACTTCACGATCTTAACACACTGAGGAAGAAAGTGGAGAAACAGGATTCAGTTATCAGATCAAATAAGAATGAAATGGAAGAGCTACAACAAAGAATAAAAATAAAAACCAGTATTTAGAATATAAGGAAGAGGAAAATTTTGAACTCAAACTCCAGTGCAAAAAATTAGCACACGAGAAGAAAGACGACACGCCTTACACAGTGGTAACCAGGAAATCTGAGAATCTAATAGAAATAACAAACGATGAGAATAGCGAGAAGGAACCAACTGTTAAACTAATCGGATCAAGCATTTTGTCCCATGTGGATGGCAAGAGGATGAGCGGACTTAACGTGTCAGTTGAACAGGCCTATACAATTCAACAGGCTAAAGATTACGTAAATGGTTCAACTTCAAAACCAGACATAACAGTGTTCCAGGTGTTAAGTAATGATGTCAAATCAGTACAATCAGATGAAAGGATTATCAAATCGATGGAGGAACTGGTCAAACTCAACGAAACAAAGGCTCCGAACTCGAAGATTATAGTGTCCTTACCACCACCGAGAAAAGACAACCCAAAATGGAACCTCCGTCAGAAATCTATAGCTAGCCAATTGGAAGTACTATTCCACGATAACGACAACGTCACATGCTGCCCCAATGACAATCTAGGACTGAATGGCCAACCGAAACCCCATCTCTACAGAGATAACGTACATATTAACGAACAAGGAACTAGAATGCTCTGCGGGAATATACTTCGCACGGTTAGAAAGTTTTGTAATCTCTCCCAACCAGCACATCGTAACAACAATAACATGACCAGCAACAATAACTTTTATGGATCTCGGCCAAGATATAGGCAACAGTATCAAAGATACTAGATTAGGGGCCTGATGGTAATCTAAACTGATCATCAGTGACTACACTAGACGAATTAAACGTTATTTAGTTAAGATGTTTCATTATTTTGTAAAACTATGGTAATTAAGAATGTAATCACGAATTTTACTCATTCATTCCGTTTACGGTTTTTAAGTCAAGACATACATGTAGGGCATAGTATCAAAGATACTATCGATAAAGGAACTGTTGGTACTCTAGACTGGTCAGCGAATTTACGACCATAAACGGATTGTTAACTTTTACTCACTCAAGACCAGCGATATTATTGTATTGTATTGTAGTATAATGTAGTATTGTATTGTGTTGTACTATATTGTATTGTAGTATAATGTAGTAGTAGTTTCCGATATGTATTCGATATGTAATCAATATACTCCAGATATGGTTTAAAGCCAGGATATACATGTAGGTCACAGTTTCAAAGACACTTCAGTCAGATAAAATGACTGTATAATTTAGACGGATCAGCGACTAAATAAGTTATATAAGACGTTTAATTATATTATAAATTCAAGTAAGAATGTATAATACTTCTACGCATTTAAGACGTTATCAGCAGAAGTACACTATATGCAATCATTACATTATATTTTCAGTATGTCGGGATGTAAGATGTAAGATGTTGAATGTTAATTAACATATTTACGTATTATAATGATATATAAAAATACGACCATTACCACACATTTAAATATCGCTTGCTGGAACGTTCAGGGAATTGAAAGCAAAGTAAGGAACAAATTGCACGATAATGATTTTATCAAAGAATTAATAACACATGATATAGTCTGTCTAACCGAAACACATGGTGATGAAAAAGACCCGATATGTTTTGATAGAGTTAAGGGCTTCACATCATTTTCGGTAAATAGAGCTAAATCTGGCAGGAAACGTCATGGCGGATTAGCTGTACTTATAAGAAATACATATATAGCAGGAACGACAATTATCAAAACGAAGACACCAGATATCCTGTGGGTTAAACTTTCAAAAAAGTTCTTTAATACAAGTAATGACATGTACTTATGTATAACGTATTTTTCACCTGCAAACTATAACCCAAAAGGTAAATTCAACTCAGGGGATGACCCATACGAGATTTTGACAAAAGAAATAAATAAATATTCTAATATAGGTGATGTTATGATTATGGGAGATCTTAATTCAAGAACAGGTGAAGTACGCGATTTTGAAAATAATCACGGTTATGATGATCATATCCCAAACATTCTGCTTTGTCCCAACGATGTCACCATCAATGAACGTTCCAGCATGGATTCAGTTGTTGATGCTTCGGGTAAGAAGCTACTAGACCTATGCAGGTCATCTAATTTACGAATTATAAATGGCAGAGTACTTGGGGACTCGCCCGGTAGATTCACCTGTCATAAATGGAATGGAAGCAGTGTAGTTGACTATTGTATTATTCATGAAAATATGCTTCCAGATATTATGTACTTCAAGGTTCATGATAACCTTTGTGCGCTCTCTGATCATTGCAAGATTTCTCTATTAATGCAAGTACGAATACCAAACGACCACGGTAACAATCGGACTAAAAACAATGGGCATACTATCAAAATGAAACCAATCAAATATAAATGGGACGCCCGTCGCGAGGTACAATTTAAAACGGACCTCTCCAATAATTTAAAAACACGAAATGATATAAACGAACTCAATTACGAGCTAAACGACACCTATAATATTGATGATTGTATTGACAAGCTCGAAAAAATTATAATTAACACAGCAAAAAGAGCACTACGAAAAAAGTTACCCTGTAAAAAGAAAGGGGGCTCGATATCTCAAAATGGTTTGATAATGATTGCAGTATACTGAAAAGAAAGGTTAAGTCAATTGGAGCAAAACTAATAAAATCACCAAATGATAATATGATTAGAGGTAATTACTTCAAGTTGCTAAAGGAATATAGGAAATGCTGTAAGATAAAACAGAGGAAATTTAAAACTAATATGATAAATAAATTAGAAGAACTTTATGACGATGACCCTAAAGAATATTGGTCCCTACTTGAGCAACTAAGGCACAAAGACGGAAACAATAAGTCCGCGTATATAACACCAGAGAAATGGCATGAACATTTTTCCAAATTATTTGAAAAGGATAAAAATACCGAAAACAACAAAAAAAGTCAAGGAAATTGTTAAATCAATAGAAAACGACAATGATTTTGACGAACTTAGCTTCAGAATAACAGAAAACGAGGTTTACAAGGCAGTTAAGCAATTAAAGAACAACAAGAGTTCGGGTTTTAACGGCATTAGCTATGAAATGATTAAAGCGTCATACTCAGTTTTAAATAATGTTATCTGTAAAATGTTTAACATATTACTAAGCAAAACAGTTTTCCCTGAGAAATGGAATATTTCATCAATCGTTACGTTATTTGAGAAAGGAACGACGAAAGACCCTGGAAATTACAGAGGTATTTTTATTTCTGATTGCTTTGGCAAATTATTTTCAATAATTTTGTATAATAGACTTTACGCCTTTGTACATGACAGAAAAATAATATCGGAAAATCAATATGTACTAAGTGAAAAAGGGAATATATATATGTGTTTTGTTGATTTGAGGAAAGCTTTCGATACGGTATGGCATGATGCTTTTGCAATCGGGTGTAAACGGTTTATTCTATAAAATGATAAAACATATATATTCACAATCAAAAGCAAGAGTCAGACTAGATAATGAGGGTTTATTTACCAATGAATTTGACTGTAACAAGGGAATAAAACAGGGGGACCCCCTAAGTCCTCTTCTATTTAATATATATATAAATGACATTATTAAAACATTAGATCTTAAAACAGACCCATTATTAAATAATAAGCGAATTGGAAGCCTCCTTTTTGCTGATGACTTAGTAATTATCGCATCCTCAAAAGATGAAATGCAAACCAAATTGGACAAATTAGAAAAATACTGTGAAGAATGGCACTTAAATATCAACACTGATAAAACCAAAATTATGGTAATGAATAAAAATGGTAGACTTATTGATAATCACTTCTTTATAGGGAATTACAAAATAGAATCTGTTCCACGATACATTTACCTGGGAATGGAATTAAGCATAAGTGAGTCAATGAGACCTGCAGCCCAGCATGTCAAAGACAAAGCTGAAAAGGCAAAATTTAAATTATTAAGTCTAATTTCTAATGGTAATATGAAACCATCATTATGCTTAAAACTATTTGATCAACTCATAAAGCCCATATGCCTCTATGGATCTGATATATGGGGTACGGGTATCTTAAACTCGAATAAAATTAAAAAAGACCCACAATGGGCATTAGAAAAGGGATATGATGGAATAACATTTGAATCTCTTCATATATCATTTATGAAATCGATACTCGGGGTTAACAGAAAGGCCAGTAATGACGCTACACGAGGCGATTTAGGTAGGTTTCCACTATTTATTTATTTGTTTTATCAACAAATGAAATATCTTAATCATATTAACAATAAAGGAACCGACTCGCTTCTACGTGAAGCCCTTGAGGTAAATAAACAACTGACAGATATGAATAAACAATCATGGCTCACGCACATCAATGATGTACTTAAATATATTTACAATGGTACTTCACCAAACTATTTAAACTTAAAACCAAGAGAAATTAAGAAATTACTGGAAAATAGATACATACAATTTTGGGAAACTAAAATAAAATCAAATAATGGTAAATTGAGGTTTTATAAGATAATAAAAGCAAAATGGAACAAGGAACCCTACTTGGATTTGATCAAAAATGAAATAGACAGAAATAACTTGACAAAGCTAAGAATTAGCGCACATAAATTAGAAATCGAAACAGGTCGTTACACAAAACCAATTACCCCTATTGAAGAAAGAAAATGTTTAATGTGTAACAAGAAAACCGGTTCAGAATGTCATTTCCTATTAGAATGCAATAAAGTTAAAAGATGTTCGGTCAAGTTACATGGATAAAATAAAAAAACACTGTCAAAATTTAGAAAACATGAATAACGTGGAACATAAATTAATGTTTCTATTTAATTCAGAGGGAATAATATTAAATATACTAGCAAAATATATATCTAATATTTTTATCGAGAGAGAAAAAAACACGAAATGCATCCAATAAAATCTTGCAATGATCAAGCACCCTTTGATTAGTTAATATACTATATAGATAATTAGTTAAGCTTTTTCATTTTTTCTGTTTAAGCTGTAC